CCTTTTCCAGAACTGCCAGCTAGCTTCCTCAGTTCTTTCCCCCTCGCCCCCTCCTCTCTGTAATGCTTCTTCCTCTGCACACCCCCAGTGGAGATTTTGCTTCGATCTGAAAAGACACTTGCCTCTGTCATTAAATGTCCAGTTGAAGGCTTTGCTGGCTGCTTCACTGTCTGCACAACTCTCCTAATGCATTCAGTAGTAGGTGAGCTTCTGGGTTAGCAAATCCAGGAGGGAGGGATGAAGAGTGGGTTTTGCAGTAAAGCTACAGACACGCTTCTGCTCAAACACCATGGGTTATCATTGTTTCTATGTCTTGTAACAGGGTGTTAGACCATATGTGCTGCCTGGAGAAAGAAGTGAAATTAGACTATGAACGCACCATGAACAGGATCAGCTTTGAAAGAGTTGTCACTTGCAAACCTCAGACATTTTCTTATGTCACCCTGCCAGACAAAGAGGAGAAGAAAGTACCAGAGAAAGGTATGGGACACAGTGAAGCACTTTGAACTCGGCATGGTTATAGGACCTCTTGTCTTTGATAGGATTCATGCTTTGTGGCAGAAACTCTCACTTTCGTGTTAATAACTCATAAGGGGCAGCAGCAAGATATTATATGAGACTTTGATTTTGTCTGCTCTTTTTTGGGGTATATTTGCATGTTCATGTTACCTCAGTATAACACATTACCATCCATCAGCTAAGCTGCAGTAACTCTGCAAGTGTACCCTTAATGGCACCAAATGCACAGCAGTGTGATTAGCTTAACGGCCTTCTGCTCCGCACTGTGCTGGGGCTGGCTGCCTTCCATTTGCTGTGCTCAGCTGTGGCATACCTCAGGTGTGAAAGAGGGCTCAGGCTCCTTTGGAGTCCTGCTCTGGAGGAAAATGGGAAGGTGTATTTTGTGCACTTCGATCTTCCAAAGGTTGGAACGCCTTGAGGTGGTTCACAAGTGGCCTCTCACAGATGAAATGTCTCAGCTGTGCCTTGAAGCCTCAGTGGGAAGGTTCTTCAAGTCCAGTGTGTTTTCTCATGGAAGCTTCATGAACCAAAGCCTCAGGAAGGTCAGGCACTAAGACAGTCCCTCAACCCCTAATGGGAGCTTGCGGAAAGTCTCTGCTGCAGAGCAGAGAATCTTTCATCCAGCCATCTGCTGAAACTGCTATATGATAAGGCCTGTGCATAAGAGGAAAGTCCTTTTCACAAGCGCATTCCAAAGGGAGCTGTACTCTTCCTCTAAAACGGAAGCTGGGATGGCTGTTGCAGGCAATAACATGTTCCTTTTTTCGGTGACAGGGTGTATCTGGATCCCAGACTATCCTTTTGATGAACAACAAGCAGATTTCAACTTTGTCTCACTCCTGACCAGGCCAGAAGTCATCCTTCTCCTCACACAGGTGCAAGATGAGTGCAACAAGGCAGCCACCATGTCTCTGTTTAACTTGACCTTAGCCAAGCATGTCTGCTTGGAGGAGTTTGAACAGATCCAGACCCAGACCTTCACTCAGGTGAGCGGAGGAAGCATGTGGGGTGAACACATGGAGCAGCCAGCAGGGCTGTCAGCGTGTATTAGACAGATGCAGCAGCTGCAAACTGATTCCCTAGAAACAGATGAGCTTTCAAAGGAGATGTTGTGGATGGGGCAGGGAGAAATTTGCATGTACGTGTCAAATTTATTGGTGTGTGGGGAGAATGGGCTGAAAGAGCCATAGCCCCCTGGTTAGCATCTGCCAATGCTGACCATGCTCTTAGTCATGTGTTGAATAAGTGGCCACATAGGGCTACAGCCCCTCTTTCCTCCTCCTGGTCTCCATGCAGGTAACAGTCCCAGTTGACACTCAAAAGTTTCCAGGTTTTTTGTTTTTATTTCCCCATCCTTCCAGCTGCAAGGCACAAGAGTGTTGCTTCCTCCTGAAGCACTCATGGGGTAATGCTTTTCTGCACTCTGTGTTCTTTATGCACTTAATTAAATTACTCAGCTTGCAATGCCAGCAGACGGACTAGGACAAAAATCTGCAACTCTGTGGTAATTCTCACCGGAAGATCTTCATGCCCTCTAAATGCATCCTGGACGTGGCCACAAGGAGTAGCTTGCACAGGGTTACACAGTAAATCAGTGGCAGAGGGCATGTGGTGGTCCTTCCTAGTCACATGCTGTTTCAGCTAAGCAGTGCTGTCATCCACTCAGTGACTAAGGTTGTTTTATTACACACAAACAGCAGCTCCCTGTGGAGCAGAAGTGACACTTGGTGGTATTTTAATAAATTAAAGCACTGCAGACTGCTGCTGTCCTTGGCTTCTTCCCCTCTTTCTCCTCACTTGTCAAGAGAAGACAACATTCTGTCCTTTACTTGCTCATTGTACTGTCTACATAGCTTTTTATGAGGGACCCTGACACAGGCAGCTCCAGGGATACTGTTCTATAGAAAAGAGAACAAAATGGAAATACTGTGTATAAAAAGAAAGAATAGAGCACTCCTTGTTTTTCAATATCAGGCTTTCTTTTTGTAGGTCTTTTGTCAGTGAAGGAGATGTGTTGCCAGGTTTAGATGTCGTGTGTGTGTGCATGGATTTGACAGCTACTGTTTAGCCACAGCTCTGAGAGAACAGTTGCCTTTCATTCCAGAGAAAGGTCCAGCAGTCCCAGCTAGCAGCTAACCTCACCATACTGCTTTCCTATCAGCCCTTGGAGGATTACACAGCTTGCTGTTTTTTCTTTGCCCTAGGTTCAGATGTTTCTCAAGGATACTTGGATCAATACTCTAAAGACTGCAGTAAAGAGCAACCTGAGAGACTCGTACAATCCGGAACAGAGCCACTGGGATGTCTATCAGATGTCCAAACTGTGTAAGCTGATGAAGCGCATCAGATTCATGCTTCAGGACTCTGTGCGGTATCTGGTCCAGAACTCACTGATCAGCTTCACCCAGCTTTTGCTGGACGCTTGCCATGGTATCCTGAATTGCTCAAAGGACATGGAATGGGAAGATGACCTCATCCATAGCCCATACAGGTAAGGAAGGGAGAGAAAAAAAGGGTGGAAAGAGCAGAGAGGTGTAGTGCTGTTGTCTTTCTAACTACTGTTTTTGCAAGCAAGCTTTGCGCTGTATGGGGTCTTTAGGCTGGGCTGTTTCTTCCAGTCCTCCATCTGACACATTTGCTTGAGTGTGGAAGAATGACACAGAGCTGACTGCTTTGTTAGTACAGATTTCAAGTTGCTGTTATTGATATGAGGCAGCCCATCAGAATCAAGGTCTGCTACTTTATCATGCTGTTCTAAAGATTAGCCACTTCCAGCATTCTCAGGGGAGCAAATAATTACTACTAGCTTTTTTTCTGGAGGCCAGGAATAAGAATACTAGGAAGCATGGCTGCTTAATTCCATTCTTGGATTAAACCTCAGAAGTAGGATCTGGCCTGGGATCTCTAAGGAATACCAAATTTGGCTTGTCACAGTGTCTAGAATTTTCTCCCATTGGGTATCAGTTTAAGGATTTCTGTCCTTCATACAATTAAAAAATGAAGGTTTAGAAATTGAAAACAGGAGGAAAAGAAAAAAACCTGTCACTCTCAAGAGGCCTTTTACCTTGAAATCAGTGGAAGCTTTGTCACTGACTTCAGCTGATCCTGAGCCATGCTGGTAACGTACAAGATTGGGAGATACTGAATATTACTTCTGGAAGGTGAATTGTAGGAGTATATTTGAGATGCTGAATGCCTGGTTTGAAGATCGTCTTCAATTTTTTTGTAAAGCAGGTCCAATTCTCAACATAAGGTTATGACTTTTGGGGATACTGGTATGTCATGATTGACACTTCCTTCACCTTTGATAGACAAGAAATCTCAATGTCTTTACTGGTAAATTCAGAAAGCAGTGTTTCATACCTTCAACTGCATGGGACAGTCCTCCTCCCCTCTGCTTTCCTTTCCTGTCCAGTAAGCAATTTAGCATGAGCAATATTGTTGTGTGCCATTGTCTCAAAAAGCATCCCTGTTCTTCCTTATCTCTTCCCACTGCAGGCCTCAAAGGAATCCACTCTTTGTAATGGACCTTGTGCTGGACAGCAGTGATGTTCACTTCAGCCCCCCGGTGGAGAGCTTTGAGAAGTCCCTCATTTCTCTGTTCAACAAGGGAATCCTGGCGACTCACACTGTCCCACAGCTGGAGAAGGTGAACCCTTCTGCATCAACAGTGATATATTGCTGTGCAGGTCTCAGTGCATTGCAGTTTGACATAGACACCCCTGAGCTTGTATTGAGGGAGACAGTTGCAGAAGTAGGTAGTTGGAAATCCAGTTAAATTAATTTGGGCACAGCACTGTGCTAATGCAGCTCTATTCTGACAGGATTGCTTCAAGCTCCCCAACCCTGTAGCTGTTTTATCTGGTTGCTATCTCAGCTTTGGTGCTGCACGTTCTGTGGAGACTTGTCCTAAGTAGCCTGGTTGCCGTAAGTGCATGGCAGCGGCTAAAAGCAGACTCATAAAGGAAATAACACCTTTTCCAGTGCTGTCAGTCTGGTGCAGACCTCTTCTGCATATGCATTCTTCTGCCTGATACTGTGAAAGACCTGTCTCCCAATGTCCTCCTTCTTGAGGGGGACAACATAAAACTGGTAAGACAAATCCTGACACAATGTAGGATGGACTGCTTGACTTCTCAAAGTTGCCACTAGTGATTTTCTCGCCTGTCTACTGAGGAGGCATGGTTAGCTCTGCTAGTCCTTGAAGACCTCTCTCGTTCCTCTTCCAGCACGTGTTGGAGAACATACTTATCACAGGCACGCCGTTGCTGGACTCAGTGGGCTTGCATGAACCAGAAGTAGGAGAACTCCGTGAGACTCTGCGGTCTGCCATTCAAAAGGCACTGGTGCCTCTCCAAGCCTATGCCAAGAGATATGAGAAGTTCTTAGAGCTAAATAGCAATGACATCCAGTACTTCCTAAGGTAAGTGGCTTTTGACAGAGGCACCTGTAACCCAAATGGCAAGCGTTTTCAGAAGCTGTTGTGTGGTTGTGCGTGAGAATGTGGAACCTCTTCTGAGACCATGAATGTGCGTGACATGCCTCAGATGCGAGATCAGGCATCCATCAGAGGCAGCCTTCAGTCATGGGCAATGGTCCATGCTTTTAGAGAACATTGGTGGTGGCAGTGAGAATTTCTTCCTGCCTCTGACAGCAGTCACATTCCTGTCATGTTTGTAAGTGTAACTGGAGATATTAATGGCCCTAAAAATGACTCATCCTGTTTGAAAATCCAGTTAGCATACTTGACTCTGACCTCCTTCAAATAGTGTCTGTTCAGGCTGGTCACATTCTCTAGAAAGTAATGTTTTCTTTTGTTTCAGCCTCACTGTTTTCACTGCCAAAACTCTTTGCACCTATGTTGTCCTTTGGCCTCTGTTACTTTAATGGTCCTTTTTCCTCCCCCCGGGTGCCTCCTGATCTTGCCCTGTTTACACCAGTGCTTTTGTTTCATCTCTCCCTCTCCTCTTGCCTTATTACCTCTTTCATCTCTTTCTTCCACTGCTTTTCTGCAGCTAAAATATTTTGTGCTCTTATTCCACTCCACGCCTTTTGTGCTTTAAAACCCAATGTAGATTTGAGTCTGTCCCTTCCCATGCTCTGCAATGTGCTCCTCAGCTGCATATGAGTTCCATGTCTTCTTGCACACACATCTTCTGAAACTGGGAGCCTGTCTACAGTGGTACGTGGGTGTAGCTGTGGTGCAGGTAGGCATAGGCTTCCTCTGCTTTGCACTGGTAACTGTAGCAGTGAAGACACTGAAGCAGAGCCATCAGTGCAGGCTGGTCACCCAAATAGATGGACTTTACATGGGATGACTTTGCTACTATAGCTTCCCATGCTCAGTTAAAGCTAGCAGTCATGTACTTGACTGTGATACAAACGCCCCTCACTTCCTGTGTAGGCATGTCTTTGGCTGTAAGGTCTAGAAGGCATCAGTACTCCCTCAGTCTGTGCTTGCACTACACATTCAAATAGATGCATGTTTTAGTGACAGTAAACGGACTCATTATTAATTTAATGTCTTGATCCTTTGGGCAGACACATCTGGACATCCTATGAACAGCCTGGATTCTCAAATAATCTTAAGGTCTATGTTACCTCTTTTTGTTGGTGTTTTTATTTACAGAGACTATGAAGAGCAATGTCCATCTGCCCAGGAGGTGATGAGTGTAGTAAACATGCACTTGTCTGAAAAGGAGAACCTGGACAACACTCTACCTAGTTCTATTGTCATTGGTCCCTTCCATGTTAGCATAGAAGGTGTTAAGCAAAGTCTGTCTGAAAAATACAAAGCCCTTGCCACTTCCATGTTGGACATACTGGCTAAAAACCTCCATTTGCAGGTGGAGAATGTAAGTTACCTGGTTCTATAGATTATCTGTCAGTGTCTTGTCTTGTCCTTCTGCTTTTGAAGTCGCTGTGTTTGTGAAATGGACAAAAGATAGCAACTGAGGCCACATTAATGAGGACATCTTAAAGATTACATCGGAGTGATTATTTAAAATAACAACTATAGGGGAGATACATAGACTTAACCAAATCGAGTATTAAATATACTTAATAAATTATGTGCCCGAAAGCTGTATCTCTGAGACTAAATTCTTCAAGACCTTGCCATCTTATAGAAATCTGTAGGTGGATTGAAACGATCTGTCTCGTAGACAACTAGAAGGTCCTTCTGCTTGCTCTGAGGATAACTGGAATATAGACAATTGCATCTGCCAGACGATTTTCCAAATCTGTTATTGTCATAATTTCAGCTACATACCTGTGGTTCCTCTCCTTTTTCTGGGCAGTCCCATTCCATTTGAGCTCAAATGAGATGGATGTAGAAAGACTGTGGAATGAAGAAGACGGAACAGGACTGTGTACTAATCAGTTTAGACTGCCTTCAGAATGGGAAGTGGGTGGATCATGGCAGGTTTTCCAGTTTGCCCATTAGCAATTAATGGCTTTTGAATGGTCTTTTCTCTGCTGTGTCCTCCTGCAGATCTGTGATGCATATAAAGCTGTCAGCTGCAAAATGCATGAGAAACTGAACAGTATCGAGGAGCTGGCTGAGCTGCGGGAGTGGATGAAGGGACTCCCTGAGCAGCTGGCTGTGCAGGAGGTAGGGCATGGTCTCCTTATGGACAGGGGACACCAAGGGAAGCGAGGAAGAAATTTGTCATTGCAATGTGTGGTGTCTCAGAAGCAGAACTCCATTTGTTTTGCTTGGATGTCTTTGCATGCAATACCATAAGATTCCTGGCTTTATATTTTTGTAATTCCTAAGATTTTTGTTTTCAAATACACATATTATGAATTTAAATATCTATGCAAAACAAAATAGCAGTTACAAATTTTTCCTGAAAGATTTGTGTATGCCTTTTGCTACCTTCATGATCCATTCTGCATTTGTGTCTTCTAAAAATGAATGTTGTTTTCAAGAAAATATTTCTGTTACCAAATGCTCATATTGCTGTTAATGTATTTCTTCTAATAGGACATTCTAGTGCTGAGTTATTTCTAAGTTATTTGAAGTGTACGTCTTCTCCCAGCTGAACAAATGGGGAACAAAGGCATCAAGCTGTGACACAACTTGTCCATGCCAAGGAAAGAACCTGGAGGATAACCCAAAGCACTCAACTTCTGTCCAGCACTTTATCCACTAGGTCACACTTCTTGTCATTCATATAGAACAGAGGGTGATGATGGCGTGATCATTCACAGAACAAGGGGCTGTAAATCCATTCCCACTGTTCACACAGCAGAGAAGTAGCCTACATCACATTAAGCTTGTGTGACTAACACCCTTCAAAGGCATCTCATGAAAATGAGGTATACACCAAAGAGTTGGAATGAGTATGGTTTAAAGGTGTCTATTTTTTGTCTCTTTCTCTCACCCTGTGCAGGAACGGATTCGTGAGGTCATGGAAGATTACAAGGTCATGGAGGGATTCCTTTACAATCTTACCGAAGAAGATTTCCATGACAAGTGAGCACAAGGCATTTCTCCCACTGTCAAAGTGGGACACTTTGCAGCAATTACCATTCTCAGTGCTTCAGGGGCTGTCTATCAAGGGCTCCAGCAGAACTTTTGAGTGCCTCTTAGGCTATATGAGCACTGAATTCTCAAAATTAAGTTTATAGAGAAGAAGCGTGGGTTCATGCTGCCTTCTGGCCTGGGGCAAGGCAAACTGGTAGCTGTTAAACTGTTTAATGTATTAAAGCTCTTTTCTCTTGGTTTTTTGGAGACATCTGCAAGGTCTCAAAGTGCACAGTTTAGTCTGTGTCTGAAACGAAATTAACACTTCCAAGGTAGGAAGACTCCCAGAGTTTTCTTAGGACTAGGAAGGAACATGAACCATGTATTATTACTGCATTTCTTTTCCGTGCAGTCTCCTCTTAGTTTTATCTTTGGCTATGTTATTCGGATTGGGGTCTGACTATGCCCCGGTAGCAGAGCCAGCTCATAAACACAGCTATGCAGCTTCTAAAGAGACCTCAGCCCTGGAAGCACCTCTCATATGGTTTGGACTTGGTCCAATGTGTCTGCAAGCTGAATGAGTCTCTGCAGAGTGCTCCTGAATCTAGAAACGTGGAATGCACACTGCAGAAAACCCACAGAAGCTGCAAGAAAGCATTTCAGCTCTCGGACAGCTTAGCACAAATGTAGCTGTATGCCCACTGGCCAGACCTGGCACATGCAGAATTAGTAGGAGATTGCTGCATCCCCAGGCCCTGGGATGGGTGTGACTTGGAGCATAATGCTGCAAAGCTTGCATCTGGCATTGCACACAAGCTAACAAGTCCAAATGGAGTAATGGGTGGGCTCCTGCTGAGCAAGAACCAAGAAGCCTGCCTTGCCACGAGCAGCTGCTTTGTGCAGCCTTTCCTGTATCTGCGTTGCACTCCCCAGGGCACTCTGCAGAAGCCTGGCTATCCTGGGCTTCACTGTATCTGGGTTATCCTGGCCCCTCACTGCCCTGCTTAACAGGAGGCTGGCTTTTTCAGTAGCACTGAAAAGCCACAAGCCCAGACTCTGACCCCATTTTTTTCAGTTCCTTGTGAATATGTTCAAACACAGACATTCCCTCTGAATGCCAACTGTTATTTTGCTGTCTCTTAGCTTTTCAGCAACTTACTGGATTTGTTCCTTTTAAAAAGGCCCTCCACTTCTCCCCAGCCCTCTCCATGTGAATAGCCTAGTCACAAGGACTGCATATCAACAAGAAAAGCTGAAAAAAATGTTTTGTTGAAACCACGTGTGTTTCTGTTGTTGTAAAGCTTCCTTGTTTGGTGGGAGTTGGCTTTCTCATTCTGTTATTTTCAGCATTTCAAACATATGCTCAAAAAGTTCTCTCTTTCTCTCCTCTTTTTTCCTTTTTTTGTTTTGTTTGGTTTGGTTTATATATCATGTGAGTGCAGGTGGGCTGCAAGTTTCTGGCCACTGAAAATAACTATGCAAGCTGAGTCCATTAGGCTCCAGCACCTGGAGAAGGAAGACGAGTTTCGCAAAATCCAGGTCATGGATCAGAATGGCTTTCAAGACAAACTGGAAGACATGCAGGTATTAAGACACTGACGATAAACTGTCCAGAGAAGGGGGCTTTGAAGCTCTTGTGGTCAGCCAGGTGGGAAACTTTCAAATGAGATTTTAGTCAGATGAGATTTTCTGTCAATGTATTGTTGGACCAAAAATTATCAAACGTCCTCCCCACCACCCCATTTTTTTTTATTGGAAGTTGGGCTTTTGATTAAGAGTTCCATTTTTGTGTGAAAGACTATACTCTCTGAAGAAATACTGACTTTTCACTGGGAAGGTGTTCATTGAAATACAATATTCTGATTCTTGGTGGTCAGACAACCCATGCACCTGCTTTTTCTTTATTGTGTACTCAGTTCCCAGCAAAGCATCTCCCATGATACGCTGCCATCAAGGGGGAAAAATACAACATTCAGTCATGGAACTCATCTCCCATGAAAGACCCTTAAACAATAGCAGAGTTTTGGAGCTGAGATACCTCAGGTTTCTGCTGAAACAGTCTGAATTTTATTTTTCACCAGAAACTCTTAAATACAGAAAAAAAAAAAAAAGGCCATCTTGGAAATGCTTTAATCAGTGACCTAGATTATCTTGGAAATAGCCTCCCAGAATGATGATAACCCAACACTGGATTAAAAAAAAAAATTAAAAATATCCCCAAACCCCACAAACTGAAAACAAACAAACAAACAAACAAACAAAACCACCAAAACAAACCAGAAAAGTTATTAGTGAAGCTCTGGACATGTGTTGTTAAACAATTCTTGGAAACAAACTGAGTGACCTAGTAGAGTTACCATTTTCACTGATTCTGTAACTAATGACAGTATAAATTCAGTAGCAAGAAATTTGGGCACAGACTTATTGCTTCTCCTCCTCAGGGATTAACTATTGTCACAAAGACGAAAAACAGCTGGTCATCACATTTGGACTTTCAACCACCTGACCAGTGGTTATTGCTTCTCCTCACCACTTTCATTGCGGTCTAAACAGAATTGGAATTGGATTGGGGGGGGGTGAAATTGTGAGCATAAAAATCTTGCCGTTGAATGAAACAAAGAGCACACCAGGAAGCTGAGATCTCCAGAGGCAGCACTGAGCTTCAGAGCCCCATCTCATGCCTGCCCTTTCTCTTCCAGCTGACTGTAGGTGGATTTTCCATCCAGACAGACTTTAACCAAGCTCATGAGTTGGCTAACAAAGCAAGGGAGGTCAGGAAGCAGCTGAAGGAGCTTCAGGATTTGGCAATTCTCTACAACAACAGGGAAAGAATCTTTGGGGTGAAAGTTACTAATGTAAGTGTCAGGTCCTGTACCTACAGGACCCTAATCTTTGTTGGGCCTTCTAGGTAGTAGGTAAAGCAAATAACGAGATGCAGTTCCTCAGGAAGGAATCCTTCATGCTCTTTTGCTTTACCTGACGAACTGCTCCGCGGTCCTGTAGAGTGACCACACTGCTCCATCACTCCGCTGTGCTGCAGAAGAGCTGATCCCAGGTGAATGTGGAAGGCTGCTCATGGGCCTGATATTGCCACTTCTGTGAAAGACTTTGGGTGCCCACGCTCAGATCTGAGTGATGTTAATGAAGACGAATTGGATGGGGAAGGTCTTGAAGCAGCAGTTAAGATGCATCAACTTCTGTAAGGCTGTTCCTGCAGTTACATAGACGTGAATGAGAGTGGTTGCATAGTGGTGCACAGGCAGCTGGCTGGGCTCGGAGCGTATTGTGTTCTCCTAAGGCAACAGTTTATGTAGTTGCAAATGCTCATTTTGCCTGTAGCTGTTCAGCTGCCAATGAATCATTGTCATCTACGTCCAGCCTACTCTGGCTGCAGAGTAGAAGTGGAGTTCACATGATGCTTTCCTACTTCTCAGTCTATGGTTACTTCTTCACTGTAAGGAGCTGAGTTTCGATATGATGTGCAATGTGTGCTTTCACTGATTGTGTGTGGACTGCCCATCAAAAATCATTGTGCAGCAGAGCATTTGTAGAGGCAAATGGAGAGAGTGCTTTCCATGCCAGACACATGGTGCAGGCACAGCTCCACTGGATGCATTTTGGCCTGAATGTGTAAAGCCCAGCTCTGCTAGTTGCTCTCCCTTGGAATCTATAGTATTGTTCCAGGAGAAGGTGGTCTGATACATCCTCTTTTTTTTCTCATCGCTTGCTTGAGATCCAAAAATGAATTGTGACTTTTTGGCATTTTGACATGCAAGCTGTTATCCAGAGAATACACTTGTGGCTTATGCTTGCTTTTTCTCTCTTTCCAAAGTACAGTAAGCTATCCAAGATGGTTAAGGACTTCCAGCCGTACTATGATCTCTGGACTACAGTGTCAGACTGGATGCAGTGGTATGAGAGCTGGATGAATGATCCTCTCATGGAAATTGATGCTGAGCAGCTAGAAAAGAATGTCAATGACTCTTTTAAGACGATGCAGAGATGTGTGAAGCAGTTCAAGGATTCACCAGGTAGATACACAGTCTGGGGAAAGGAAGTTGGTGCATATCAACATTTTGATGTGAGACATGTCACAGAGTGCTCTGAACAGGGATTGTCAGGATGTCACATGGATATCTTGTGTGTGTTAGAGCCCACCGAGAAAATGCTAGCAAACTTATTTTCCACTTTTTTTCTGGAACTGTGATGATTCACATCTAGATGCTAGTTTGCTGCTTGAAGTACCAGTTTGGCATGGAAACAACCAGGCTGCAAATCCCTTTTATACTTAATTCCCAAGACAGTACTGAAATAAAAACCACCCTCTTATATTGCAGTTAATATTTACTCATTTATATAAAGTAAAATAATCCAGACTAGTCACAGAGAACTACTATCTAGCCCAGTGGCTAGACATGTGGGTTTAAGCCCTTATGCAAGTCAGGCAGCAAAGGAACTTGAATCTGGGTCTTCCAGGTGCTGTTTTCTTGGCCAATCTTATTTTCTCTATTGGCCAATGAATTTAATGGAAAGCCAGAAGAGATCTTGATTTTGTTATGAATAAAATGAAATTGCAAAATCTGGAAATGATCTATGGAATGTAATAACTATTTTCCTTCCTGCCTGAATGTGTATGAAGTTTAGATGATCGCATCCAGCCCTTGCAATTTACATGAAGGTCTTTTAATCATGGCTTCTAGTAAAGCTGGAATTGAGACTTCAGTTGTAGCTTAACTTCCCATTCCATGATTCTCAGAGATACATTGGTCATTCTTTAGAGCTAATTCTAAAATCTCCTGCCAGATGGCTTAGATTGAAATATATTTTGCAGTGGGAGATTTTTGATTCATCCTTTTTAACTTGAACTTGCTCTTAAACAATGCCGTGAATCAGCCCCCATGGAGGAGGTGATGAGTGGATGCGTGAGTAACTATGAATCATTATGGTAAACAGAAATACTAAGAATACCTGCTCATATTCATTGCAATATTCCCTGGCACCTGGTAAAATACATGCTTCGTCCTTGAGTCTGCCTTGTCTTTGCATACCACCCAGCTGCAAGTGTGCAGTGTGACCACACGGGGTGCAATAAAAGGAGGCACATGCTGTAGCCAGATTTTGGAAAGGAAGCAAGTCCCGTGTTCTTTGCCTATCCATTGCTTTACTCTCAATAGCACAAGTTGAAAGAGAGCAGGATATGAACAGTGCAGAGACGTGGGCTTCCATTATGCCCCCAGAGAGCAAAGCCCTTTCCTTGACTTCATCATTCCTATGAGGCAGAAGTGCCTTCAGCTCTAGTGTGGCCATAGGCTTGCAGGGCCTCTTCTGCATGCTTTCCATTTCCATAGCTGGATGTGATCCTAGCCTACTTCTAATTCCTGTGTATAGTGTCCATCTTCTATTTCGGATGGCCTGAGCTGGGGTGTGAGATGACTTGCAACCCAATCTTGTTAAGGAAGTGAAGATCTTGGAATGATGACCAGAGCTTGTAAAATATCTATTGGCAGATGGGGTTTCCTCATGCTTGGGAATTAAATTTGTTTGCTTCTCGTCTTCTGGTGAGCTCTAGACTAAGGCACATTTCTGCTTAGCATGGACTTGCCTGTAACAGACATTGGGTTAATAGGCAGGTCTGCTTCTGGGAGTGGGCTTAAATCCTTGCTTAGTAGCCACATAGAGAGCGCCTTTGTGTCCTCATTAGTTCAACCTGCATTTTCCAGCACTCTCTCCTGCTGCTTACCTATGCCATACTGTGTGTCTACAAGCACATCAGGCTTCTTAAAGCAACTTCCTCACATGCTGTTGTTGCTGATGTTCTTCTGTTTTTCTCCCTAAAAGCCTGCCAGGATGTGGCAATGGAGTTTCGAGAAAAGATTGAAGAATTCAGACTATACATCCCCTTAATTCAAGGGCTGCACAATCCTGGTATGAGAAACCGACATTGGGAGATGCTGTTGGAAGATATTAACATCGATATCAAGCTAGAACCCAGTCTGACAGTTGCTCGCTGCTTGGACATGAAGCTGCTGGACCATATCGAGAGCATTACCAAAGTAGCTGAGATAGCTGGCAAGGAGCACGCCATTGAGAATGTGAGGAGAGAGGGACTTGCTGTGTCTTTGGTTGCTTCCCAAATACGTTTCTGTTGAGCAAATAGTCATTGTTCCTGTTGTCCCAGAGCATTATACACAATCTGCAGCACAAGTAGAAAGGCTGCTGCCCTTACAGAGGGAAGCAATGGCCACACAACTGTGTTCACACACTAGGCATCATTTTGCCTTGCATAGAATTTCGGTTGTAGCATAACAGCACTGCTGATCCACTGGTTGGGTCTCACACCTCACATGGGATTAATGACTGTTTAAATTAAAATAAATTGATTGTCTGCATTCTGCCATTGAAACATTATGTCAGGGAGATTAGCTGTGACTGGAAATGGAGATGGCAAATCCTTTAACACAGTAAACGTGCAGGGAAGACTTGCTGGCTCTGGAGGTTCATAGGTTAAATAGTCTTTCAGTTTCAGTTCACCATTTTGGATGTGACCTAAGATGGTCTTGATTGAAAGTCATTACCTTCTGGCAGCTTTTGTTCTCTGAATTCTCAGGTGAGTTCCCAATGGATAGCTACCTCTTTCACAAAGCCATCATTAATAGACACTTTGCTGGCAGCATCTGTGCATCTAGTAGAATAAATGGGCTTGGAGTTGAAATTCCCTTTTTTCCCCTCAAGGTGTTCCTTTCAGGGCAGTGTTAAGGTGTTGAGTCCATGGGCAATGCAGAAGAAATGTGCTTTTGCTGAGTGTTTCATGCATTGAATACACACCTGCAGTTTCCAGTGGAATCCAAGAGCAAACATCTGTCACTTACTAGAAAGGGGCATTAAGAGAGTTGTGGAAGCTGGGATAACCATTGCACAGGTTGTATCTGAAAATTAAATTGCTTGTTCCTGTGTTCCAGGCACTCAACAAGATGGAGAGTGAATGGAAGTCTGTTTTATTTACTGTGGTGCTTTACAAAGACACAGATACCTTTATTCTGAAAAACACCGATGAAGCTTCTCAACTCCTAGATGATCACATTGTCATGATTCAAAGCATGTCATTCTCACCGTTCAAGAAACCTTTTGAGGAAAGGATGAACACATGGGAAAATAAGCTGAAGATGACACAGGTATTGATTTTTTGCTTACGTGCGTGTGGTGAAGGCAGGCAGCTGGGCTCTGCTGCTATGCTTGAACACGGACACTGTGCAGTTGTCGCTAGGGATTTGGGAGGACAGCTATCAGGAGAATATCAGCCTTTAGGGAGGAAGAGGGCCTGTCTAGTAAAAGAGGGGACAAACTCAGAGCTTTATTCTGTGAACAGCAGTGATGAAATTCCAGCTCTTTGCCTATTGTAACACTTTTTGGTGGGGCCAAGACTGTCCCGTTGCTGTGAATAGTCCTACTGGCACCTCTAATCACATTGTACTAAGTGGACCTTACAGATTCTTACACATCCTCTGAAATCTATGCTAATCATTCACATCTCAGTGTAGGAAAACACGTGGAAGACTGCTGTTCAGAGCAGGATCTGACAGACCATGCCAGCACTTCTTCATCAAACCAGAGCATGAATGCTCAGCACCCAACAGGACTCAGCCAGAATAACAACATTTTGCTGCAGGAAAAAAATTCCAATACAAGTATCTGGCTGGAGAGCTCTGTGTAAATGCTGATGTTTGATGCATGACTGCATTGTTAGCTGTTATTCATAACAACCTCATTCTGGTTATTGGTGCTTACCATCTAGGTGTGCTTGGGCCATGGGCTGCCAGAGTGCTAGCCTTGTCTCATGAGGGTACAGCAATGCTACTCTAAGCCCTAAGGCAGTAGGTGACAAGGGGAAACTCAGTTATTTACTATGTGATTTTGGCTGTGATGTTGTCCATGTTTTCACTCTGCCTCTCCTACCGCTTCTTTTGATTGCATTAATTCCTGTGACTAAAGGCCCCTGAATCTGCTTCTGGGAAGTGGCTTATCAGGGTTAGCTCATGGAGTATGGCAAACACCGTTGTCTGTATTACTGGAAAAATCCCACGTCTTGCTAGGTCAAGTGGCTGCCTGTGCTCAGGGAGCAGTAGACAGCACCTTGTGACTAAGGCAGTTTGAAAGGGAGTCAAACACTTGAGCTGCTTTGCAATGTCGGGCAGGTTCCCCATACCTTCCAATCTCCCATGCCTGAAAATGGAGGAGGAGGATGTTCTTCCAACCTAATTCTCTTTCTCCTTTGAATGTCTGTCAAACAGGGTTTCCTGCCTGGTGTCTAACTCGAATGTTTAGCTTTTCATTCACTCTCTTAATTCAAAGTGTTTGAAGATCTTTTCATGGATTATTCTGTAGGCAAGGCTGGGGCTGAGGTACATCAGGCAGGAGAGAGGATATGACAGAATTGCAGTCTGGCATATTTTATTTGTCATTCTTCTTCCCCAAAAAAGCTCTTTTCACAAAATAAAATCCCCATCTTATTGTGTGCCCACATTGTCTTCTATAAAATGCAAAAACACTAGCCACAGAAATTTGACCTAGCACCACAAAGTCCCTTTGAGTTTTAGTGTTGGCTTACACATATTTCTACACTACCCCCATTAAACTAGTGGGTGTTGATTCTGATGCCTGCTGACAACGGTTAGCGAAGGGGGTTGCTAGGAAATTTTTAATTATTTAGGAAGAAAATTCCAGCCCCTGATGCTGCAGGTAGATTTTAAAATTGTGGAAGGACTAAGTGCAGCATCACCTCTTTTTTTTTCTTTTTTTTTCTTTTTTTTTTTTTTTAGCCATTCTTGTGCACAGTTTAAATGGTTTTGTCAAACAGGTTCATAGCATGATGTCCTAATAAGCTCTTCTTTCTTCCCACTAGGATGTCCTAGAGGAATGGCTGAACTGCCAGCGCTCTTGGCTCTACTTGGAACCCATCTTTAGGTCAGAGGACATCAAAAGACAGCTCCCATTGGAAAGCCAGCACTACCAGGCCATGGATAGGGACTGGAGGAACATCATGAAGAATGCTAACAACAACCCTGAGGTATGTGCCTTGACGAAAGCCAGTGCAGGTATCCCAAACTCCTTGGAGCTGTGCCTACACAAGGACTGCCTTTGAGTCTTTCTTTTTGTAGCAGTGTGGGCGTGAGCAGCACTGTATAAACCATGCGACCTTGCCCAGAGTGGTGTACTAGGTTTATTTTCTTGGCCTTTCATTCTGGCATCCAGACAGGCAGAGTCATACCCTGTGATGCCTTGCACCAAGCTGTCTACCGCACCAGATATCTTCTCCTCAGCACACAGACTACCTGCCTGCTACGACTCTTGTAACCAGCCCTGCTGTAATTGCAATCCATAAGATAACTCCTTCAATTCCTCCTCCAGACTGACTCTTTAAATTGGTTAGAGCCATTGTTGTCACCTGTTTCTGTGTCCTGGTATCAGTGCTCTGTGCTCTTCGGTTCTCTAGCCTCCACTTCCCAAGACCCCATCACCACTTGTATTCCATATTATTACAAATGTTAGTTTTTAGGGGGACCCAGAAATGTGCTTGTCACATCCATAAGCACTGTTTCCCCTCCTTGCCCACAAAGCTCACACCTCCCCAGATCCCTGTGAAAGTAATCCTGTGAATGAGTCATTTAAATCCTATCAGTAACATCACTGGGCAACCCAATTATCTCCACTGCCTTATCTCCCACGTGCTCAGAATACTGATGCTTCTTCTGTTCTCCATTCTGTTTATAGGTGATTTCTTTGTGCACTGATCCTATGCTACTAGAGAACCTGCAAAAATGTAACAAACTACTTGAACTTGTGCAGAAAGGTCTGAGTGAATATCTGGAGACAAAGAGAGGTGCTTTTCCCAGGTAACCCCAAATTTCAGTGTGCTGGATCATACTCTCTGGTTCAGAAAATATGAAAGGAGAGGCTCGCTCCAGTTCACTCTGCCGAGAAAGAGCAAAACAATATAAGCTTAGGATATTGTCATGAGACTGCAAACACAAGCAAGGCTGAGCCTTTCAATGCTGCCATCTGATGGGGAGAAAATGGGCAGACACAAATGTGAGTTAAGGGCAGTCTGGTGGCTTCATTACATCTCTGTGCCTCATGATTTGTCTGGAAAGGGTGGGGTAAAATGAAAACCTCCATGTAACACTATTCCTTATTCCTGAAAGAATACTTCTATTCTTCAATACTCATTTAAACCCACTTTGCATGGGAATAAGTGCCTTCTGCAGATGGAGAAGTCTGTCTCTACAGAAAGATAGATGGCTGGACTGTGGCTGCTGCTCTCCTACACCAATACAAAGAGATCAGTGAGCAGTCAGAAACAGTGTCCCTAGCAATAGGCTTGTTCCTCATCTTGCCAGGACTCAGCCTCTGATGCTACAGTAAAGAGAGCCTCCCCTCATGCCCCACCCTGTGTTTCTAGGTTCTACTTCCTTTCAGATGATGAGCTGCTGGAAATACTGTCTCAGACAAAAGACCCCACTGCTGTACAACCTCACCTCCACAAATGCTTTGAGAACATTGCACAGGTAAGCAATGCAAGCACCCTAGTGGCTTGACCCACCTTTGGGAAGCTGGTTTCATGGGAACTTGGAGGCATGCCTGGAGGAGTATTCACATTCTGCTGAGTGGAAATGTATCTCCTGGGAACCTGTAACTGTATGTAGGCATTGCAAGGTGCTGCCTGCCCTGGAGTGGGATTCAAGCAACCTCACTTCAGATGTTTCAACGTCAGATGTCTGCCTGTGAACTGGGCACCCTCAATTGCCTTTTAGACAATGAGGGGAACATAGGCATCTGCAAAGGGCAACTCACAGAAATTCACCGAGATACCCATCTTAGGAGGAGAGAACACTCTCTCTGGAGATGTCTGTCTATCCCACCATGGAGGCCAAGAGAAATAGCTCAGATGTAGCTCTCTGCTCACAGGCACTTGGTTAGGATGGAATTCCACTCTTGCTGACAGTCTCAGGAGGGACTAGGAGTGAACAAGCCTGAACTGAATTAAGTTTCTGCCTTCATCCCTACTTAGGAGCTGGGGTTAACCTGGCTATTTTTGCTCTTTGTTACTCCTAATAGACTTCAGGCTCCATGGCTAGTCACAGCTTGCACCATTACAATGCTCAGACACTAAAACCAATCTCCTAGTCATTAGCTTGGGAAAATAGACAGGAAATTGAACTGGAAACCTGGTGCAAAGCCATTGGAATAAACAAGGGGACTTCCAGTGATACACTAGGGCACTGGAGAAGCTGTTAAAATTTTACTCTTAAAACTGGGCACTGTGACCTCAAGGGAAATTATTTGAATCTACAGAATTGAACAGGAATTAAGGGTTTGAATCCTAGACAGGCAATAAGAAATGTTCATCCTACCTATAATTTGATTTGCTTCACTCAAGTTAAACCAACGATGTGAATCTCTTGTTTTTATACAACCATCCTCCATTTTTTGTAAAGGTCATTTTTCACATATGTCGCACACTTTATTATCACTATTGACAACCAAGTTTGGCACCAGATTTATGATGAGCACACAGCACTACAGCCTGGCTGTCCCCCAGTGGCAGGAAGGCAGGGATAGAAAGGAAATCCTCCATTCACATCTCCTGTTGCGCTTCTTCCATTAGCTACTGTTCCAGGAGGACCTACAGATCACACACATGTACTCTGCTGAAGGAGAAGAGGTGAAGCTGTTTGTTCCCATCTATCCCACTGACAATGTGGAGGACTGGCTGCTGGAAGTGGAGAAATCCATGAAGGCCAGTGTACGGGACCACATAGAAAGATCTGTTGGTGTTTATCCAGAGGTAAGAGTTTTATATCACAGACTGGCAGGTCTCTGATGTCTTGGTTCCAGGCCTGCCGTAGAGGTCGCCAGTGAAGGGACTGATGAATTTGTCATATTTCTACTAGTTTTAAAATACAACCTTTAATCCATCTGTGTGTGGGTCAAGTGCAGAATGCACAGTTGAGCAAGCAGCTAATGGTCCAGAAGAATGCAAACCCTGCATGCTCACTTATCAGCCAGAGAACATTTCCCAATATCATAGGAGAACTCTGTATGAATCCATTTCTATTCCTCTCTCTAAGCAACTTCCTCTTTGTAAGGATCTACTCTCTTTTGTCTTCCTCAGCTTTCATGTCTCACACAGTATGCTAGTTGCTGCATTATGGGATGCATCTTGGCTCTGATTTCTGTGTAAAAGCTGTGCTGGTAGAAAATCTAAATTTTTATTTGTTTGGGTCTAGGGAGGGAGAAAGGCTGAAAAAAGAAAAGGTCTCAGATATTTCTGTTACTGTTTTCTACTCAGTCTGAAAATTTGAAACTAGGAAACTTAGAACAGGGCGGAGGAGGGGAAACATTCTTTTGGGTCTCACAGATTCATCTTAGAGAAGGGACATGTAGACATAAAAAAAATCATTGTCTTACCATCTTGGGTGTTTTTCCTTTTTTAAGACTCCACGTACTACATGGGTCTTGCAATGGCCTGGCCAAGTGGTCATTGCTGGCTGCCAGATTTTCTGGACAAAGGAAGTATCTGAAGCTCTGGAAGCTGGAAATTTGTCCAGCAGGCTTTTCCCACAGCTGAGTACTCAGGTATGAACATGAATGTGAGGGTGATATTTTGCCAGATGGAGACTTTTCAATCATCAGACCTTAGATAACTTATAAATACAGACAGGACAATACCATAGGAGAAACAGACACGGTCCTGCATAGCACAGCTCAAAACCAGGTAAAAAACACAGGTTCTTATCACCTTAATCATTAGGATATTTGTCATCATAAACCTCAAATAATGTACAGGACTGATAATATGATCATTGCCTGAAGGCAGAAAGAAGGTGAAAGATAACTTCTCCAGAGTCACCCAAGAAGTCAAAGATGGAGGAGAACTGAAGTGACAGACAGTAGAAATCAAAGTGGAACCGCGTCCTTCATAACTGGTGTGCATCTAATCACACCCAATACCTAGGAGATACTAACTCTGGGGCTCATGGTGGCTCTAACTCTTTCTTTTCACCTGAACATGATGATGGTGTAGGAAAAAGTCAGCTCTGAGCCAGCCCTGAGCAGTATTTGCTTTCTGAACAGTCATTTGTATCTCTGACAAGAGAAGAGGCAGAGGTTGCCTGGACACAGCTTATGATCTGAACTTAGCATACCAAGAGTTTGATTTCATTGTATTAGTACATCCTGGGTCTTTGGGGTATGGGTTGCTTCAGAGTACTTTCTTTTCCTTACCCAGCTGAGCAATTTGGTTGCCCTGGTCCGTGGAAAATTGTCCAAGATGCAGCAAGCAGTGTTGTCAGCTCTTATTGTGATTGAGGTCCATGCCAAGGATGTTGCAGCAAAGCTGATTGAGGAGAATGTGACAAGCATGAATGATTTCGAGTGGATGTCCCAGCTCAGGTAGAAAGCATAGCTGTTGAACCTCACCTGGTCTCCCTGGCCAGTCTTCATTCTCCCTACCCATCAGCCATGTCCATGGCAAACGGAAACAAGAGTTTGCATAGTCTGTAAGCAGTATTCTCGAGTCGCCTCTAACACCCCAGTGAGGAGTGGGCTTGAAGTCTAAGGATGCCAGTTCTAAGGCATCTGAGACAGACCTAGTTTGATGGTGTCCACTTTGGCAATATAGACGAATGGTCTATACCATGGTGTTTCACAGCCTCACTGTGAAAGGGCGTGTCTCTGCCCAAGGAGTGCAACACTTCATATAACACCTAATTTCAGCTCCTGTGAGAACTCCTGTCCACCCTATTGTGTTACCTTATGCTTTCTTCTCTTAGGAGGGAAATTCCTTGACATGCAGGTCTCCAAACCTGCAGGCTGTAATCTTATAAGCTGCTGTATTGTCTGCCAGCCAGTGTTTATCTTTCTGATGTCATGTTCACTTATCAATAGATACTACTGGACGAGGAGGGACTTGTACATCAGAGCAGTCAATGCTGAATTTATCTATGGCTATGAGTATCTGGGGAACAGCGGCCGTCTGGTTATCACACCCCTCACTGACAGGTAAGGAGATTGTTTTCTGTGTAGTAAGTGTATCTTTTTCTCTTTTTTTATTTTTTCTTTTTTCCTGGATGAACAAGCCTTATTGGGGATTAAACCAAGGATCTGACCATGTCAGTCTTGCTTCTTAATGTATGTAAATAGAAACCATTTGTACAGTAAAGGACTACATGAGACGAGGGCAGAGGAACACCCTGGCATTGGTTCTATTGTATTCCTTGTGATCAGTGCTCAGACTGATTGCTTTCACTCTCCTAATTCTTAATGTAGTGCTCTGACTCATGTCAAATGCCCACCTGATAGCTACAGAGTTCTTCTACAAACAAGTAGAGAGGGGCATCTAATAGTCTAGAATATGCAGCAGCAATAATAGTTTTACCCTTTTGTAACTGTCCTTTTTCTGGAACGTGAATTTGTAGCCAGTGGCAGGAGGATTTATCCATGCACGCCCCCATGAATACTAATCAAGGCCACATAGCTAACTCCTTTGCAGAATGCTGCATATCTAAGCAGTTCCGCAGAATAATAAAGGATGGATTTCTATTTGTCTCCAGCTGGATAGATCATATGTCTCCCTTACTGAAATCAGCAGCAGAAATGCTTTTCATCATCTGGTCTCTTCTTTGTCGTAGGTGTTATCTGACGCTTATAGGAGCTCTGCACCTGAAATTTGGAGGAGCACCTGCAGGACCAGCAGGAACAGGCAAAACAGAAACAACAAAGGACCTGGGCAAAGCACTAGCAATCCAAACTGTAGTGTTCAACTGCTCTGACCAGCTTGACTTTATGGCAATGGGAAAGTTTTTCAAGGGACTAGCCAGGTACAATGAAATGCTGCATGTCATTATCAAGGAGAGGGTAGGATATGGGGATGCTGGCCACTGGGAATTGGTGGGTATTTTTTGTAGCAGCCCAGAAGAACAAACAAAGCCCTGGTGAGGGGGTTACTGTGTTCAGGAATGAGCAAAGTTACAAAATTCCTGCCCGAAGGGAGGGACAGTTGAGCCAATTTAAAAAAAAAAAAAAAAAAATTTAAAAAAAAAAGGATCAAAAGAGATCCTGTTCATTTAAGGCAAAATTAAGATGCTTTGCACCAATCCACTGTTAGACACCTGTGCAAATGTTTGCAGCTCTGGCCTTTGTTTTAATATCATGCACGTTGGACTGAGATTCAGCCTACAAGCTGCTTAATCTTAAGAAGGAGAGAATCTGCTGAGTGTATCCAAAATTGAGCAGTCAAGAGAGACTGCTCTAAGCCCTGAGGGATCCTCTTAGAGAAGCTTCTCTCTTCTCTACATTTCAAACAGAGCTGGTCCAATTAGTCTGTTGCACACTGGTGAATCTGAATTAGTTACTCCAACAAATGCTGATACTCTTTTCTCAGATGTTTTCTTTGTAAGTAATTTAACTTCTTTCTTAAATCATGCCTTGTGATAAGATCACCTTCCTCATATACATGCTTCCAGCTTTATACGTAGTCTTCCAAGCTCTGAAAAATGGACTTGAGAGATGTCTAAATTTTATCTGCCACACTTATAGCTCAGGTATAAAACAGGAATTCAACATAACACCTCTTTCAAGCCCAGATCTTTAACATGCAGAATTTGCACCAGGCTGTAGGATCAGACATTGCTATGGTCTTCCAGGGACCATGCACCTTCTCACTCATCGCATGGCCTAGGCTGCATAGTCAGGATGAGGGGCTACAGCTGCTTCCATTATACCAGTACACTGTGGCTGTATCACTACTTGTCGTGGGACGTTAGGGACCTTTTAGGTTCACATGTAGATGTGACACTTTGGGACATGGTTTGGTGGACATCGTGGTATTAGGTCAACGGTTGGACTTGATGATCTCTGAGGTATATTCCAACCTAATGATTCTATGATTCTTGTCTCTGTGCTGCCTCCCCAGTATGTGGATTTATAATTTCTAGATCCAGCTGAACTTTTGACTGCAAGTTTGCTCCTGTGTGATGTTCCCGACTCCCTTTATTTTTCCTTCCTTGTCCAGCTCTGGTGCATGGGCTTGCTTTGATGAGTTCAACCGCATTGATATCGAGGTACTGTCTGTGGTGGCCCAGCAGATCACAACCATTCAGAAAGCACAGCAGCAGAGGGTACGTTACAAACATGTGGATGCAAAGGCAGACAAAAAAAATCTCCACTTGAGCTAGTCTAGGCAAGTTCTTGGCTTTGCATGCATCTTCACAGAGGACTAGCTTCACTGCTCAGGGGCAACTCAGACAGACATACTTGAGCTTGGAGAGGCATGAGTAATACCCTAGTTGTGGCACATCATATCAGGCCATGACAGAGCCGAGATCCTGGGTGGGTTTTGTAACTTCACCCTAGTCTGTGCTGCCACAGTGGCCCACCCTCTCACAGGTGGAAGTATATCTTGGCTTGAGCTGCAGTGCCAGCAGACTTTGGTGTGGGAGACACTCCAATACAGATCCACTGAGCTGATACAAATTGGAACTGTGATAAAGGCAGGCAGTGTTCTGCTATGAGTTGCTCAGCACCACATTTGTCTAAACGTGTTATCCAAACTTTAGTGGATTCACAAAACCAAATATGCACAGAAAAATGCATACTTATACACACACAGAGTTGCAATGTAAAGTGAATTGTTGGCTCTACATGGAGATTCAGCTGTCAGCCAGTCTAGCAGCCAGCCTCTGCTTTTTTCTCTGGAGACTCAGAGGCGTTAAGACCTGAATCTCCTTGACTTTGGATTGACTTTTGCATTACTTTATCCCCCATATGATATTACTACCTACAAAACTTTAAAAAGGATTTAGGTTTCTCTTTGGCCTTTCTGCCATAAATTAATTCAAGTCCAAACTGTACTGCAGAATAAATGGAAAGATGTCTGTTTACAGCTGGAGAGATAGAAGTCTGTTCAAGAGCAAAAAAAAAAAAAAATTATCCTGTCAGTAAATCTTCCATAAGCCCAGTTTCTTGAACAGGGAAAAATAGTGCTGGTAATACTGGATTCCTGCAGTGGGACCAGATTAAGTCACTACACTTGTGGGCAGCTGTCTGTGTCCATGCTTGATAATTTAACTACTGAAACCCATTGTTTTCCTCTTGGAAGATTCTGCTACATTATTTAATTTGCAAGTCAGGCTCTGTTCTTTGAGGATGATCGTATTTTTAATTTTCTAGGTGGATCATTTCATGTTTGAAGGCACAGATATCCCACTCGTCCCGTCCTGTGCAGTCTTCATCACAATGAACCCAGGGTATGCTGGGCGTACCGAACTGCCCGATAACCTGAAGGTAAGGAGGGCAGACTGCATAAACAGAAAGAAGAGGGGCAATACAGGTGCTGGATGCTAGCCAGACCACCAGTGTATCCATGACAAGGATTAGGATGTGATACTTTGGAAAGTTTCTAGGATCATTTTGAGGTTTGAATCACATCTGTAAGCAAATGGCGCTCCTCATATTGCACTCTGCAGGGATGCTACCCTGACAGGTACAAGGCATACTCATGCTGTGTCCTCTAGACAGTCTGGGATAGATACTAAGCCTTTTCAGTTTGTGGGAAAAAGCAAGAAATAACAGTGTTTTGATCTTGTGTTGGAACTGTATGTTTCAGGCTCTCTTTCGTCCTGTGGCTATGATGGTCCCAGATTACTCCATGATTGCTGAGATCTCACTCTACTCCTTTGGATTTAATGAAGCCAAAATCCTTGCAAAGAAGATCACCACAACATTCAAACTACTGTCAGAGCAGCTCAGCACCCAGGTAGATGCCTTAATGTCCATGAATGTTTTTTAAATGTGAGGCTTTCTGAGCCTAGGCAGAAAGTACCTGGATGGTTCTCTTAGTGCCTTGTGGTAGCATATAATGAAAAAGTCACAATACTCATTCTTCGTCTATTTCCCTCCTTTCTAATTCTTATTTCTCCTCCTGTGGCTGGACTTGCATTCACCTTCAGTCCTAGTTAGGATTACAATGACAGGACAGTTGAGCCAAGCAGCCCCACCTATTTCTCCCTCCATCTAGAATTTTTCATCATCCAGTTATGCTTGTCTTCTTCACCTGTAGTCTATACAGCGGAGGACTAGTTAGTTGTTTGAAGGATCCTGAGAGCAGACTTGGATGAAGGAGCAGTTGTTCTGAAGGCATAACCCTCATTTTTCTTTTCTTACCTGCTAACTGAGTGCATGCATAGGTTCACACTTTTTTAGGTGATGCACCTGTATCTGATGACATCATTTCCTTTGTGCCTTTTCCAGGACCATTATGACTTTGGAATGAGAGCTGTGAAGACTGTCATCTCAACAGCTGGCAACCTCAAAAGAGAGAATCCTACTATGAATGAGGTAAATGCACTTATACTTCACACTGTCGTAGACTTATGTGGCCTTTTCTGTAGCCACACAAGAGAGGCAAGATCTTTGAAGTCCTGAGTTCTTAAATCTTTGCAGGAGCTGATCTGCCTGCAGGCTATCAGGGATGCCAACATACCCAAATTCCTACAGGATGACCTCAAGCTCTTCAATGGTATTGTCTCAGATTTATTTCCCAAGATCAGAGAAAAGCCTGTTGATTATGGCATCCTGGAAGAAACCATTCGCAAATCCTGCATCAAAGAGAATCTGAAGGATGTTGATGGTGAGGGGAAAGGCTCTCCACAAGCTTCCTCTGGCCCTGGGCTTTTAGTCCACCGCCCTGCCCTAGGAAGGAGACAGCTGGTCCCACTCTGCATCATCTTCCTCTACAGGTTTTGTGACTAAGTGTATCCAGCTCTATGAAACCACTGTGGTTCGTCATGGCCTTATGCTGGTGGGGCCAACAGGTTCTGGGAAGACTAAGGTATGGTTGAGACACTATTCTGGCCCCAGCAAACCATTGCCTGCCTAGTGATGCAGAGGGTTAAGCTTCACAGAAGACACACTCCAGCATTTCCAGCTTCTCTCAGATAGAAGTCAGGGCACCAAGATGCTGCCTTTTAGTATTGATTTATAGCCATGGAGAAGTATATTACTAGCTTACTCTTTTGAGTTGGAAGATTAGACCGAAGCTTATTAGCTCTACTGCAGATTTCTGAGAAGGCTGAGACATACTTTGACATCTTGAGATGCTTCAGGCCTCTTGCACAAGAGATCTAACTTCCTCCCTCCCTGCATCTAGAATGCTTTATTTCTGTGAATACAGACAGGCATCTCCTTACTATGATATTATCCTTCACCAAGCTGCCTTTCTCACTGCCTTTTGAATGCAATTGCTGTGAGAACAAGTGGCTTTGTCATTATGGAGGCATGGCAGTTGACTCTCTTGCTCTCCTGCTTTTGCAGAGTTATGAAGTCCTGGCAGCTGCAATGACATCACTGAAAGGTCAGCCTGCAGCCAGTGGTGGGAATTACGAAGCAGTCAGCTACTTTGTACTGAATCCCAAATCCATCACAATGGGCCAGCTTTATGGAGAGTTCAACTTGCTAACGCATGAGTGGTAAAGTACAAAACCCGCTTTCCTTCCTTCCAGATGGGAAACGCTTTTATTCTGGTCTTGAGCGTCTTCAAGGCTGAGAACTGTTCAGGGTAGTAGCATAAAACCAGAAGCGATCAAGTCCTTACCCTCACCAAGCTACAACAGCCAGTCACAGCAATTTAAGCTGACATCTTTTGTTGTGTGCTTGGCCTGGCTGCCAGCATATGCCCAGACAGTTACTGCAGCTCAGCTCGCAGCATCAGCTGTGTAGCAAGGAATAATTCAGTTGCTTTGGAGCACATGCCTCTGCTCTAAGATACAGCAGCTTAAAAACACTTGCTTTGCTTCTGAAGAAATGTGACCTCAGTACTGCACACTTGAATTGTTCTTTGTAAATACACTGGTGGCCTTGAATGACGAGCAATGACTTTCAGGCATAAAGAGGCATTTCATTCCCGTTACCAGGGCTCCTGCTTGCTTACATGGTTTGGAAGCAAGAACCAATAGCGCGTTTGCCCTCTTAACAGCTGGGTCCTACTGCTTGTGTTTCCATATGTGACCTGAGGTTGACTTTGCAGCTCACTTTATCCAGAAGCTAAGGTGTGAGAAGCAGTGTGAATCTCCCTTTGGCCCTGTCACCCACCGCTTGCTTAGGGGCAAAGCTAAAGACTGTGTTCTGTAAAGCAAGGGAAACTAGATAAATATGAAACTAACTGCCTCTAGGAAAAGTGCAAGCAAGTAAGCATTACTGATGCTAAGACCCAGAGCTTCCCAACCTGGGCTCTTGTGCATCTTTGCTGAAGGACATTTTATAGGATATTCCAGTTAAGCTCGACAGTTTATTTATGATGTGACTCTACCCAAGAGCAGCACACAGGCATGTCAACATGACAAAAAGAAAAATACAGCAGCCATGTGAAATGTATTTACAGACAAATCCATCTGTTTTACTCAGCTGAGCTTTAGAACAGACTGTTTTCCCTTAGTCTCAGTAACAATAGCCTGGAATTCACTAGCACTATAAAAATAACAAATAATTATTTAATAATGGGAGTAGAGTCCAAGGCCTGAACAGAAATTGGATTCCAGTTTACATGTACAGATTAAGTTCTTGCTGTCAACAGCCAGCATTCCTTGTGTGTCTGCTCTCCAATTCACCAGCTCCAGCACCACCTGGGTTCACAGGCAGCTGAGGATGGGGAAGTTCAGTTATAAAGAGGGTAGAGTCATGCTCTTTAGCCTGGATTCATCGTTGTAACCGATAGTTACCCAACTGAAGCATCTGAATTAGCAGTGTAGCTGTCCTGAGTCCCCCTTTACATTTGGCAGAGAAAAAGAGGCACTTCCAGAGACCAGATGACCCGCCTATGACCTGAGCTGGATGCTTAGCAAGGCCTCTTTGCTTTTCATTGAGGACAGAGACATTAAAGGGAAGCTTGGCATTTTATACTTAGATGACATAAAGTCCAGATCCTAATGCCCAAAGAAATTGTTTCATGGTGTCACTCAGGCTGAGATGTATGTCTCAGTGAAAAAAAGAATGAGATGGACCTTCAGGCAGCTCATCAACAAGTGAGGCACAGGTATCCTTGAGCACATGAACCAGGGTAAGATTCTGGCTCTGTTGCCTTATATGGTGGAAGCTTTGCCATTGATTTCAGCGAAACCAAAATGGGCCAAGACCTGTCTTCCTCTCACCTTTCAGGACCGATGGGATCCTTTCTTCACTCATCCGGCAGGGAGCTGCAGCCACTGACACCAGCAAGAAGTGGTACCTGTTTGATGGGCCGGTTGATGCTTTGTGGATTGAGAACATGAACACGGTGCTAGATGACAATAAGAAGCTGTGTCTCAGCTCAGGGGAAATCATCAAGCTGACAGAGGTAACTCATCCCTCCCACTTTTGCTGCCTGTTATCTGTTTTCCTTCCTCCCTCTTGGAACAGATCTGCCTTTTACTTTCCACTTGATGTCTGTGATGGACTTGTATGGAAATTGGTGTCTCGGTAGCAGCCCTTTGTTGGCCAGACCTCTGCTGAGCTGCACAAACACAACAAAGCTCCTGCAACAAAGGGAAAGATTTCACCTTCACCAAATTATGCTGAAAGATATCAGAAGTGATGAAGTCCTTATCCTCTTTTCTTTCCTTTTGCAATTTCCAGAGCATGACCATGATGTTTGAAGTCCAGGATCTGGCTGTTGCTTCCCCTGCCACAGTCTCCCGCTGTGGCATGGTTTACATGGAACCCAGCATTTTGGGGCTGGAGCCCTTCATTGAGTGCTGGCTGCAAAGAATCCCAGGTGTCATACAACCCTTCTCACAGCAGCTAGCATCTCTCATCAGGAGATTCCTCAAGGTAAGCTACCATTCTGTTCCAGCCTTTCTGTGACTGGAGCTTGTCAGCTAGATTCCAACCAGCCCAGACTTGTCAAGGCCTGGATTTAGATGCTATTGTGGGAACAGTTCAGACTACCAGTATACAAACTGCTCTGTGAATTTCCTGGGTTTAATAGAGGTTATTTGCTGATCCCTGTAGATGTGACTTAATCTTATTGGTCATTATCATTTGTTTTATTTCATTTTAAAATTACCTTCTGGACAAAATCATTGCTGGTGCAGCTCCATCGCTTACAGTGGAGTAACTCCAGGGAGAAAGTTGTAAGAACATGTTATTTCTACTCTGCTCCTAAGCCACTATTTTAATGAATAACCTGGAGCTGCAAAGGAAGGCTCTGAAGGGAGCAAACCATTTAACAGCAGTGATGGCACAAGATGCATGTCACTGTTGCACAGAGCCAAAAGGCAGGCCTGGAGGTTTCTTGGTGTTAAGACTGAACCAAGGGGTTTGACTTGCTTCTCTCCAGCCGAACAGTGGTACTTGGGATACAGTGCTAAATGGCAGCATTCTGAGTCATACCCTCCCTGCTAAACATAGCTTGCAGCAAGGTGAGGAGAAACCAGAACCCTAGAACGTAAAAGCAAAGTCAAATGTGTTGGATGGTGACACTGAGCTTTTCCTGCCTCTCCTTACAGGAGGCCATAGGCTTTGTCCGGAGGTTTGTGAAGGAGATAATTGCCTCAACAGACAGTAACCTCACAAGGAGCCTCTTCATGCTTTTGGAATGTTTGTTTCAGCCTTTCATTCCCATTGAGGTAGGATTTTGCTAGCTCTATCACTATCATTTGTGCCTGTAACTCTTAAGGGCACTAAGTCCTGCAGAGGGTTAGTCACCAGAGAACAAGATGTTGGTGCAGAAAGGTCATGCTGTAGCTCATCTATGTGGCAGAAGGCAATACGACATTCTGCAAAGCACAGGTAAACCTGGAAGGATTATGCTTTGCCCACTGAAAGAGCAAAAGATAAGCTGTATGCCTACCAGGCTGGAGGGAGTAAGTTCACTTTTATTTATAGCAGAGGGAACTGGATAATGAGTGGAAAGCAGAGATCAGAGCTAAGCACTGATGCACTTCAGATTGCAGGTCCTCTGAGAACTAGTATTGAAGAAGGCTGGACAATTTTCAAATTAAAAACCAAAGACTAAATTCTTCTCCCAGCTCGTCTTGAGTGACATTAGTTCAGCAAGGGGAGTCTCTCAAGTACATCAATGAAACAGCAAGTTTTAATCCACAGAATATATTAACAAGGCCTGTGAAAAACTGGCTAGAAAAAGCTACATAGAAGCTGAATAGAATTACAAGCACTTTAAGAAGAGTCTGGTTTTTGTGTACCTTAACCATGCCTGAGAATTTTACTTCTGCTGTCCTCTGGTTCTCAGGGAATTAGGATGATCCCCCAGGAGAAGACATCTCGTATCAGAGAGCTGATTGAACCCTGGTTTATATTTGCCTTGGTCTGGAGTGTGGGTGCTACTGGAGATTCCCAGGGTCGCATGGCCTTCAGCTTGTGGCTGAGGAAGAAGATGGCAAAGGAAGAGGTGAGTAAAGGAAAAGCAGATCCCCTGTCATTATAGAGGAACTGGTACTGAGGAGTGGGGGTCAGAGCTTCTTGAATGCCTGAAAGCTGTGGATGGGCGTCCTGTTGGTATCTGGTATACTACATCTGCCTCAACCTTCAAGGGACCCCTGGAGGTGGAAGATGTGGGAGAGAGACCTGACCCCCCCTGGCCTGGGCAGCACCCCATTAGTAAAGTCTTCCTTGCAGCAGTGCAGATCCTCCTGTGAATTCAGCTGAGCGTCAGCCAGGTTCACCACAATTTTATTCTCACAGATCCAGTTACTTTTCCCAGAAGAAGGCCTGGTTTATGACTATAGACTGTACGATGCTGGGCTTAGCAGTGCTGAAGATGATCTGGATGAGGAGGTCATTAGGAAGGTAAAATATTTCACTTTCAACTCCAAGCTGGGAAATTTGGGGGAAGGAACCAGGAAGCAACAGTCCTGCAGGATTTGGTAGGATTTTCTCATCAAGCACAAAAAAGAAAGGCCTTTAGGAACCAAGTGAGAATGTTTGAAGTGAAATCAAGCTTTTCATTAAAGGAAGAAGGCAGTTTCTTGCCCTCAGGGTTGTGAAGCAGGGCTTTCAAATCTGAGCCAAGGGCTGGTCAATTCAGACCTGAGTGCCTCTGGCAGCGCTAAGGAAAGTGAGAGGGCTCTACAAGCGTGGCTGCTGAAGGAGGATAGGGAGAAGCTCAGATGGAAAGGTCTGCCTGTGAAAGCAGTGCACAACAGCAGAAGAGCTGTGTGCAGCAGAGGATGAGCAAGGCAGACAAATATGCCATCTTTTTCACAGGAGACAGCAGAGCAGTAGGGCATGCAAGGCCCATTGGACTGAGTCACCAGCCCCTGGGCTAAAAAAAAAAAAAAAAAATGCTTTCCCTCCCTGAAATCAGAGCAAAGTAAAGAGCCCTATGTGAGCATCATATGCTTAGCAGAAGCTGCCAGTGTCATCTTTGTGGGAAAGCCACATGGGGTGGTCAGGAATGCGCATTTTCTCAGTGTTCTCCAGCCCATCCCTGACAAAACCTCTGTCTCACTTGTATAGTGGCCTCTGGGAGGTTAGTCTGTGACTTAATTCTAGCATGAGTCATCCATGTCTTGTACAAGTACAAAACCTCCATGTGCCTTGGAGTGCAACATGTGTGATGGCAACAAATGTGAAGATGGGATCCCAGCTGATCCCTCTTTGGTCCTCTGCTGTGAGGGCACTTACAGGCTGGGTCATCTTAGGACAGAATTCCAGTTCTTGCATATGTCATAAGTGCTCCATCCCCCTCTGATCCCAGTTTTCAGGAGGGAGGGCAAGTATGTTGCTGCTGGGGCAATCATCTTTTAACTCTTGGACTACCTCCCTCCTGAAAGAAACAAGTCAGACACTCACAGCATTGCCATACAGAAAGGTAAGGGTGGCAAGCCTAGGCAAAGGGGCTGGAAACCTGAATTCCTCATCTGAGCCACTACACAAGGATCTGTGACAGGGAAAACACAGCAGAAAACAGTCCTTTTCCCATAAGGGATAGATGCAACTGCCCCCTCTAAACACACCCATACCTTTCAGGTGTGCTGGGAGAAGTGGCTGGACTCTACGGCAAAGTTCACCATTGTTCCTGATACCAACTTCTGTGACGTTATTGTGCCCACGATGAACACAGTCAGAATGGCCCATCTGCTGGACCTGTTGCTCACCAACCGTAAGCCAGTACGTGTCCAGCCTTGTCTTTGATTTTTTGATTCAACCTTGTTCTCATCAACAGGGGCACCTTTTCCTCTCCCAGTGCAGTCTGAACCTAACAGCTACCTGATACTTCGAGATTATTTCCCACTCTCATGGGTTTATATTTCTCTGCTCAAAAGCTGTGTCTAAGCAGTAAGAGTTCTCCACCAGTCCCCAGGCACTATGCCAGTACCCCAAAGGAATATCAACACTCAGTTGTTCAATCAAAATCCAGCAATTGCTAGATAGCTGTCTTGGTTTGAAAGACAGGTGTCT